ACGATAACGAACATGAACTAATCCAAATGAAACATAATCTTAGATTTATCTTATATATTAAAACATAAGTCATTATTTTAATTCATGTGTGATATTTTAAAAAATGGACCATCACTAGAAACTTTTATTATATATTTCATTAAATCTAATAATAAAATAGTTGTAACTACTTTAATCATAATATCTTTTGATATATTTTAATTTTATATATATATATATATATATATATATTCAAAATTACAAAATATATGTTGAAAAAGATTTAACAAGATCTTAAATTTTTAAAAATTATGTAAATATTTCACTAATTTCGAATTAGTAAAGAATATAACTATACATTAATATAAACTAGATTTTAATTCGCGCTTTTCAAGCGCGGAATATTTTTTTGATGAAAACTTTATATAATCATATTTTGTTTATATGTAAAGTAGATTTAAGTATAAAATTTGTAATCCAAAATCTAAATTACAAATTAACAATTAAATATAATATTTCTTAAGCAACAATTCGATATAATATTTCTTAAAAATTAACATATCTCTTTTAATATTTCTCTTTTAATAGTATACACTTTATATAATCTGAATTGAACCCACACTAACAATTCTATCTGTGCTCGATCTTAAATGTAAGAAATTGGGTCTCTTAGGGTGGTACAAAACATATACACACTCGAAATATTATTAGGCCAACTTGAACGGATAATCCAAAACACTAAAAATCCGAAAAAATTAAAAACTGATCCGAATGTCCAAATTAATCATAAGTATAAATATTTGAAACATAAATATGTACTTAAAATATTCAGAACTATATTTATTTTGTAGTGGTATCTAGAATAAGTATTTAAATTAAATATTTTAAATATCCAATTATATATAAATAAGTATTTACTTCTTATCTTTTGCTTTTAAATTTGAGGTTTAATTTTAGATATGTCTGAACCAAACTAATATAATCCAAATGATATATAGTTACTTTATAGATTTTAGAATGTGATACAAATTAGAATCAGAACCGGTGTATTATATTCTAACATGATCCTTATTTATAATGTAACTTTATTTTTTTATTTCTTATATTTGTCAAGTTTATTTTATTATAATATTAAATAAATATTTATTATAATATAAACTAATGGCGTTTAACCCGTCTCATAGTTGATAAATATTTGCTTTTTGATGAAATATGCTTTTTGATGAAATAAACTGCAAAAACCTGTAACTATAAATCATAATATATTAATTCAATATACTATATAATTAAATAATATTAATGTCCATTAAATTAATATTTTATTTAAATGTAAGATACTAAATTATATGTTAATATGATAATTTAGCTATTATGTTAAATATAAAACTATTTATTCTTCGAAATATTTTATTTTAATATTTCCATAAATAAACTGAAATATGTTGTAAAATGTATCAATATATGTTATCATGCATATGTAATTATTTTAATTTATAAGTTATAAAATAGTTGCAATTAAATTATTTTATACATATTTTTTTGTAACAATTTAATTAGGTATGAATTATGTATATATAAACATTATAGAAATGGTATTTTTATTTTATAATTTAAAATGAACTAATAATTATCTGTAATAAATTTTAAAATAATTACGAATTTTTATTATTAAAATAAATATTAAAACAATAAATATCGATATTTTAAATAAAAAGATATTAAAAGATTTTGTCAAAATGCAATAGTAGAAAAGCATTTGGTAATATCTTTTGATATTTTGTTTTTTAAAATATTTAAATAATTTACTAATATTATGTATATTTAATTATAACAAAGTTTATTATATACAAAATACTAAAAATTACATAAATGAAATGGACCAACCTAGACTATTTATAGGTAGATAAAAAATAGTACTCTGTTTTAATATTAGATATTTAGTTATCTTTTATAAAATTAAAAAAAATTATCCATCTTTTATAAAATCATAATGTATCAGATTAAAAGAAAATTATTATACAAAAATTGTATTAAATGGATAAATTAATCTATTTTAATTTCATGAATAGAAAATATTAACATTAAAAATATAAATGCTGGCAGAATAGGTTAACATTAGTAACTATATAATACATTTATAAAATTAACGTAGAAAATTTTATATATACAATAATATATTATCTAAATAAACATAAAATTGCTAATTTAATATAAATTAAATATAAAATAATTATTATACATGATTTTTCATGCATATATTAGTTTATTAATAATCAAATGCAAATCCAAGAAGATAAATATATAATAAGAAACTATTGAAACAATTTTTATTAAATAAATTATTGTGTTTGTAATAGTTTTATAAACATTTAAATATATGTCCAACATCACTAATAATGTAAATAAATATTTATGTATATAAAAATAAAAATAAAACCCGCGCGATTGCGCGGGTCAAAATAAAACAGCCTTCAATTAGCACTATATAATTACAAAATTTAATTTGAGTTAAACTTTTATTTATATTTGAATTAATCTAAGTAAACAAAATACAACACATCTTTAAGGAGATCATTTGAATTGTAACTGTAAATTATAAAAGGAATCAAATCAAATGGAAGAATATTGACATAATATAAACAAATAAATAAACACACTTTAATTAATAGTAAAATCTAGCCAAACCATTATGATATCGTGTAAAATTATCGATCGTGCCATTATACCGAACGTGTGATCTATCTATATGAATTGACCCGACCGTTGGTACGTAGGGAAACTAATTAACAAAGAAATTATCTAAATAATAGTGTTTATTGTAATGCAACTATTCAAGAGTCAGCATAATAGTAATAAACAATATTTATCTACTTAATTTCATGTTGTTATTTATCAAGAAGCCCTAGCATTTCAAATAGAAAATTCATGCAAAGTTTTGATCTACGTCATGGCTTCTGGAGTTCTGGTCTACCACTTGCACGTCACAAAGCGATTCCTTTTGTCGTGTCAACTATCAACTATGCATCCGCATTTAAAATCATATATCATCATTTGTCAATGCCAACGACTATGCATACTCTTTTCAGATTTAAACACAGAAACAACTATGTATAGTCTTTAATCTTTATGGTTAATGGATATCTTTATGGTGGAAACTTATGGTATCTAAGTTTAAGATATACTCTCCACAAGCCAAGCCATGTTACATGGAAATGGAAGCGGGTATAAGAAAACGTAGAAATATGAATTTTTGAAAAATTAAAAAAGCGGGAACGTGTATATCCAAATATATATATACTAAAACTATATAATTCACCTTAAAATAAAGTATTTATTTAATCATTTATACTAATATTAAATGAATTCATATTATAATATTAAAATATAAATAAATGATTTTTGTAAAAATTATTATCCAATTAATTATTTTTAATACTTTATAACTGACACAATAAGTGAATATATATGCTATATCTCTAATAAATAAAAACCTTGTGCATAAAGATCATTTAAAATATTAGTTTTAATATTTGATATTTCTATTCTCTCTATTTCTATGTCAATATTTTTAATTTTATGTCAATATTTTTAATTTTAGATTTTATAAAAACATATTAACATGATTTTCTATTTTTATTTATTTATGACAATGTGTTCTTTTAAACGGAAACTTGATTATAAAATGAAAGCGTAAGTTTCTAACATGTTTGAAAATATAATATTTTAGAAGTGTTTAAAAAGTGACGGCCATATCCTGGTAAGTGGAGGGACGTAAATGACGAACCTCTGTTTTTTTTTTTTCATTTTTGAAAGTTTCTTTAAATGAAAGTTTCTTATCAGAAAGTTATGAAAGTTTCTTATCAGAATCAATTTTCATCAGAATCGAAAGAAAGTAAATAAAAAGAATGTTTAATAAGAAATAACTTGTGAGAAAAATACTTGTGATGTGGAGCCCATAAGCCATACCTAGTTTGAGCTCTCTTCCGTTTAGGTCTCAGTTCTTTTATTAAATTCTTTTAATTTCGAACTTTCACTCCTCCCCATCTCTGTCTCTTCTCTTCCTCCTTTAGAACAAATAATAAGTATAATTCGATAACAATAGAAGCAAATCTCTGATAGAGAGAGACTTTGTGGGATTCTGTGTGATTCTTTTGAGTGATTTGACAGTGCCCATGTTTCTGTATATTGGATAAGGACCCCTACTACTTTCTTTACATAATATTCACAAAAAAACTTACTCATTATCTTCTCTGTCTCACTTGCTTCAAACTCAAACGGTAAGCCTCCTCTTCTTGGTATTAAGAAACATTTCATCATCTCATCTGGGTTTCAATCAAAATTCAATCTTTCTTTCAACATTCAATAATAAAAAAAAAATCTCAGCTTTTGTCTCCCCTGTTTTTTTTTTTTCTAATAAAACCCAAAAATAAATGAGAGTCCTTTTCAAAGTCTATCTGTAAATGGCGATGCATTCGTCTATTACTACTCTATGAAAGCTCCTTGTGTTACATTCTCTCTTTAAAGCTTTCTCTACCTCTCACTTTCATCTCCTTTCTCATTGACTGATACATTCTCTTCAACTAATTTACAGACGTCGTCGTATAATCCAAGCTGTCTTGTTGATGGTTTACTATTCAAGACGCCAAGCTATGTAAGTTTCTCAGATCTAAATCCCTCTTTACGAATACGATAAAATAAAAATAATTATTTTATTTCCCTTTCTGGTTAGATCTGCAATTTTCTCAAACCAATATTCTGGCAAATGTTAATGTGAAACCATCATGTAAACTGTTTCCATAGTTTGATTTTCATTTTCTTACAAAAGTTATACACAAAATGAGCTACAAAGCTGTAAACAGTAAACAGTAAACATTCCTTCTAAGCTTCATGTTCTGTCCAAATCTTGCATCTTTTATAGTACAGTGAAAATCTTATTTATCTTTATGGTTTTGACTTTTTTTTGTTTTGTTTTCCTTTTATCAGATTGGGTTTGATGGATTCATAGGCTGCATTTATGGGATTTGATAGATTGTCAATAAAGGAAAGATTGTGGTGGTTATGGATTCTCGAGGTAACAGTTCCAGGTTCGGACAATATCCGACAATGCCCTCTAGGAACATGTCTTCATCTTCCTCAACTGCTTTCTTCTCAGCTGACCAGTCTCCAAGATCTCCCAAAATCCAACAAGAATGGTCTGATGCTCAATGTGAGAGTTTTGACCCTCTTCAATCACAGAGCCTTGAGGCTGATCAGATCGCTTACACACCTTCTAGAAATGAAAGAGAGAATGATTCATCTTCTGTGTCAGTTTCTTACAAAAGAGTGGGATGTTGTGAAGTGTTCTTGGGGTTACACGGTGAGAAGCCATCTCTGCTAAGTTTTGTTAACTGGCTCAGAGCTGAGTTAGAGCTACAAGGGATGAGTTGTTTCATGTCGGATAGAGCAAGATGCAGAAGCTCACGGAAACAGAGGATAATCGAGAAAGCTATGGACGGTGCTTCCTTCGGGGTTATCATACTAACAAGAATGGCTTTCAAGAACCCTTACACGATCGAGGAGCTTCGGTTTTTCGCCAACAAGAAGAATCTTGTCCCCATTTTCTTCGATCTTTCTCGAGAGGACTGTCTTGTGAGAGATATAGTTGAGAAGAGAGGAGACTTATGGGAGAGGAACGGAGGTGAGCTGTGGGAATGTTACGGAGGGATTGAGAAAGAATGGAAAGAGGCGGTTCACGGGCTATCGCGTGTCGATGATTGGAAGCTTGAAGCTCATGAAGGTAACTGGAGAGACTGTGTGTTCAGGACGGTTACGTTGTTGGCTTCGAAGTTAGTAGGGAGGAGAAGTATAGTTGAGAGGCTGGCGAAATGGCGAGATAAAGCAGAGAAAGAGGAGTTTCCGTACCCGCGGAACGATAACTTTGTTGGGAGGAAGAAGGAACTATCAGAGCTAGAATTCGTTTTGTTTGGAGATGGAGAGGATTACTTTGAGTTAAAGGCGAAAAGACCGGGGAGAAGGAAGAACAAAGGGAAAGAGAAAGTTGTGTGGAAGGAGTTAGAGAAGGAGATCGAGATGCAAAGTAACAAGTTAGTGAAGAAGAAGACAAGGAAAAAGAATAAGAAATTGATGAAGATTATCTGCGGGAAAGGCGTGGCGTGCGTCTCAGGTGAAGCAGGCATCGGTAAAACCGAGCTGCTTCTCGAGTTTGCTTACAGGCATCACCAGAGGTATAAGATGGTTCTTTGGATAGGCGGGGAGAGCCGTTACATCAGACAGAACTATCTGAATCTTCATCAGTACTTGGACGTGGACGTTGGGGTGGAGAATTGTTCCGATAAGACGCGGATCAAGAGCTTCGAAGAGCAAGAAGATACCGCGGTTTCGAGGATAAGGAGAGAGCTGATGAGGGACATACCGTTCTTGCTTGTTATCGATAACTTGGAGAGCGAAAAGGACTGGTGGGATTCGAAGCTTGTGATGGATCTTCTCCCTAGGTTTGGAGGAGAGACTCATGTTTTGATATCTACACGTCTCTCCAGAGTTATGAACCTTGAGCCGATGAAACTGCCTTACCTCTCTGCTGCTGAAGCTATGTCGTTAATGCAAGGAAACGTTAAAGACTATCCGGTTCCGGAGATGGATGCGTTGAGAGTTATTGAAGAGAAGCTAGGGAGGTTAACGCTTGGACTAGCCGTTGTTGGAGCTATATTGTCAGAGCTTCCTATAAGCCCCACCCGGCTTTTAGATACTATAAATAGAATGCCGTTGAGAGAGATGTCATGTAGTTTGTTGAGAAGAAGTATGTTTCTGTTGCAGCTGTTTGAAGTGTGTTTTTCGATCTTTGATCACGCGGATAGACCGAGGGGTTTAGCTACTAGAATGGTTGTTGCGAGCGGGTGGCTAGCTCCGGGGCCTGTACCAGCCTCTCTATTAGCTTTGGCTGCTTCTGAGAAACACAGAGGTCTGTGGAGAAGACTGAGACGAGCTATAAGATGCGGTTTTGCGTCTTCAAACTCCAAGAGGTCAGGAGCTGAAGCTGCTTCCATGTTGCTTAGATTCAACATTGCTAGAGCCAGCAGTGTCAAGCTAGGGTTTATACAGATACACGAGGTGGTGAGACTCTACGCAAGGAATAGAGTGCTGGAGAACGAGACTGCTCCTGCGATGGTTCGGGCTGTGATAAACCGTGGCTGGACCGTTGAAACCGCTGATCAGATATGGGCGGTTTGTTTCTTGTTATTCGGTTTCAGCAACGAAGCTCCAACTATTCAGCTGAAGATGACAGAGCTGCTGTTTCTTGTGAAACAAGTAATCTTGCCTCTAGCGATTAGAACTTTCGTAACGTTTTCGCGGTGCGGTGCAGCCGTGGAGCTGCTCAGAGTCTGCACAAACGCGTTAGAATCAGCTGACCAGACGCTAGTGAAGCCGGTGGAGAAGTGGCTAGACAAGTCGCTTTGCTGGAGATCTGTTCGGACAAACGCACAGCTAAACCCTGTTCTATGGGAAGAACTTGCTTTAGCTCGAGCCACCGTGCTGGAGACTCGAGCTAAGTTGACTCTACGTGGCGGGCAGTTTGGTGTTGCGGATGATCTAATCAGAAAAGCAATCTTCATTAGAACTTCTATCTCAGGGGAAGCTCATCCTGGGACTGTGTCGGCTAGAGAGACACTAAGTAAGTTAACTAGGCTTTCATCTAATGTTCATAACACTTCACCTTAGTAGTGAGAGAGAGGTCTTTAGGGCTATCTCTTGTTGTAAAAGTTAGAGTTTCTTGTTTTTCTTTTCATATATCATTATTTTAGACATAGGAGTTAGATTTATACAAAGGGTTTAGTAATAAAATATAAGTTATGTTATCTTGTGTCTGATGTAAAATAATCAAAAGATTGGTAAAGGAATAAAAAAAACAATCAAAGGAGAATTCAAAAGCTTATGAATGTAATTAAGCAACAATGTTCATCATATGCCCAACACTATCATCTAATGCTAGTCTAAATAAAATCTTATGTACCTTTTCTTCACACACTTCTTGTTCCATTGCCTCTGTTTCTTGTGTCTTGATTATGACTCAGGGAGTACCAACTCCTGCGCAAAGAACAAAAGAAACAAACTCTATTGTCATGTGACTTTTAAAATCGAAAAAAAAATTTGTTTCTGTTCCAAGCACAAACCTGGTCACAAACTGGACAAGCTTCGCTTCTTTCCATCCATTCAAGAATGCATGCCAGATGAAAATCGTGGCGACATTTAGTGAGCAGTCTTGGGTTCTCTGGTTCATATTCTGCAAACAAACAAAAATCAAATGAATAACGAAGACCGTTTTTGTAACTTTGAATGATAAAACACTCCTATACCTTCTAAGCAAATGGGACACTCGTCGATGAATTCTTGATCTTTTTTCTTTATATTAATATCACTTTGATCACCAACAGGCCATGTTTGCTTCTCTGGAAGAGTGTGTTTAGCTTCTTGGCTAGAATTGCTCTGAGTTGTTGGAATTTTGGATGGATTTCTAGGCGAGAATGATACATGAAGAGGAGGTTGAAGCGGTGCAGTGTATATATTAGAGGCCAAGTTTGTATTTACTGCATCAGTAGGCACCACAGAGGAAGAAGAGGGGTGAGATAAAGGAACATGCTCATCTATAGCTCTTGAGCTCTGCATAAAAAAACAAATAGAACATCAAGAAAACAAAACCGAAACAACATTTTTTTTTACTGAAAAACATTTAGAAAGAAGCTTTACTTCAGGTAGAATAGGCAAACAGCAGCAGCAACCCATTCTTTAGGTTAGAAACCTGACCAAATATATGAAAACTGGTTACTTAAAACTCTCATATCTAAAACGAAAGGAGACTAAAACAGTAGAATTTTATCTACATCAATACACTCAAGCCCTTGTGTACTAAAATTCGTTGGACAAGTCATGGAAAATCATATGATCCAATTATGCTTGATAGAGTCTGGTAAACCCTCGAGTAGGTTTACTGTAAACATAGATACTATAACTACCAAACCCTAATAGACGAAGACGGAAGAACAGAACATAACACAGAGAGATCATAAAAAAAGACAGTAGAACCAGAAGCTAAACAAGTAGGTTAAAAAGAAAAAAAAAAGACAAAACCCTTTTTATGAATCCAGCCAACAAAGCAAACCAGTAGAGTAAAAAAGAAGAAGCCAACAAACAGAGTTCGTGATCATATGAAACAAATATAAAGGTACTTCTTTTGTAACGGAAAAGAAGTAAGATGACTAAATTACGCAAAACCCAGAGAAAAAGGTTTGATCTTTTACTTAAACATGCTTACTTTTGTTGGGATCCCTGGGAAGCTTCTTGAGGTTTTGAGTTGAACAATAAAAAGAAAAAATAGAGAGAGAATGACTGCGACGAGAGAGGCGACTTTTATTAAAGATGAAAACTCAAATCACATTTATATTGGTATTCATATTCATAACATCACAAAACATATCGTAGAAGGAAACTCCGGATTTATATTTTAACTAAAACAATACTCGGAATTTTTAATTAAGTTTAATTTCCAATTCACGCTCTAAGTGCATTCTTTTATGGATATTTAGCATATAAGTCAGAGATACTTTTTTTTTGTCAACAAGTCAGAGATAATTTATAAGTTTCAGAGATCATAAACAAAGACAGCAGAACAAGAAACTATGCTTTTAATTTTTTTCAGAATTATTAGAGTAATAATAAAAATCCAGGTTAATAAATCAGAAAACAGAAAGCTATTGGATAAGGATCCAAGATTTTAAACATTATCAACAGAGAAATGAATATAATATCTTGCTGGGGCCTAGAACTATTCTTTCATCAGATTAATTATATTATTACAAAATATGAATAACAATACAAAACGATATTATAATCGACAATTTTACATGTTTTAGACGTATCACTTAAATTATCATGTGAGATCAATTCCTGACGATATTCATTTCAGCATGCTAAAGATTTCTGAAAATCTCTTATAAGATTTTTCTCTAATTTTCTGGATAATTTATCTTTTCTGGAAATAGAAATTCAGATTTTTTAGTGAAGCAACCGAGTAGTCTAGGATTCTGATCCTAAATTTGGATGCAAAATTTTTTAACCTTTAACCACTAGATGAGAGTATTTCCACAACCTTATCTTTTGATAAAATTGTGTACGTATTTCTTTTAAAGCTTTGATACCGAAGAAATTGAGTCGTCGATAATCTAGATTTTACGTTATGATCAATATATGTAAACTTGCAAAGTAATATTTTTTGAAAAACATTTTGGTTGATTGAAAACAAACGTAACTTGGACAATCTTCGCCTGACTAAACTCTTATACAGGGTGGCATTACTTCAGTCTCACGCTACTATACTGTCGTTTTTATTAGGTTCAGTGACATGTATCTTGCATTTGCGCTTACGTAGTAGGCCTATGAATCTTAACTCATATCAATATATCAAGAAGCTTAGTTTCAAAAAGCTTATTGTATATGTCATAGAGAGAAAAACAGGATTCTTACTTCAGATACGCAACGTCGGCACAACGGGCCCGTTGTCTCTATATGCATCCATCAGCAAATGTCTGTCGTAAAAGAAAGCAAGCACGACATTTTAAATCACTAAGGGGCTGTTCGTTTCTCCATTTATAATTTCCATTCAGCTGATCCATCTATGTGATCCATCTAAATGATCAATCTATGTGATCCATCTAAATGATCCATCTAGATTTTAGGGAATGTTCGTTTTTCCATCTAGATGAGTTATCTAAATGAACCATTTGAATGAATTTCATGTCTGTTTCTTTTTTTTTATTTCCATTCAAATGAGTTTGATAAACAAATTACATATATACCCTTGTTTTGATTTAATTATATGTTTGCTATTAATTATAACTATACTAATTAATTTTATTTAGTCTAAAATATATTTAAACTCAATCAACCTCCAACAATGCGGGAAAATGCATTTTTGCTGTTTTGGCGGAAAAACGAAATTTTTTCAGATTTGGCGGGAAAAACGAGATTTTTCGGATTTGGCGGGAAAACGAGATTTTTCGATTTTTTAGGGAAAACGAAATTTTGTGATTTTAACGGGAAAACGAGATTTTGTGATTTTGGCGGAAAAACGAGATTTTTGGATTTGGCGGGAAAACGAGATTTTCGGTTTTTAGGGAAAACGAGATTTTTCGGATTTGGCGGAAAAACGAGATTTTTCGGATTTGGCGGAAAAACGAGATTTTCGTATTTGGCGGGAAAATGAAATTTTTCGGATTTGGCGGGAAAACGAGATTTTGTGGATTTTTTCAGTTTTCGTGTATCACGGAATAATTTATGTTTAAGTTTGTAATTTGTGAATTACAACAGAGGTATAATAGACACTATACCATTTTGAATGAATCATCTCCATTCAAATGATCCAAATTCGTTCAGCTGAATGAACTTAAAATTAAGTTTAAATTTCCAAAAATCATTCAAATGGATCATCTGAATGAGTTGTACTTTTTGTGTCTAAACGAACAAAAAACTCATCTCCATTAGAATGGATCATTTGAATGAAGAAACAAACAGCCCCTAAGTAGTTTTACGTTTGGGTTTATCTTGGCTCCGGTTGTTAAACTGTTTATTTCATGTCGGTCACTAAACAATAATAATAAATCATCATCACACAAGTAAATCAAAACCTTTAGGACCACAACAACATCATACGCAACCACAACAAGACCAAAAAGTATAAATAAAAGCTCTTTCAAATGGGTCCAAACACAAAAATTAGAAACAAACAGTGAGCAAATAAATACCAAGCGAGTGAAAACAAAACAAAACAAAAAGGAACATATCACTTACTAACATAAAATGGTTACCATTGGAAACACTACAAGCATACAATCAAGGCTTGAGGAGCAATTCAAGGGATTCAAAGAAGAGAGGAGCGATCTCAGGGGTTGGAGTCTTGACCGCACATTTGAGACCAGGCTGACCCACCATGGCCGTTAGTTCGATCAAGAAAGGTACGCCTTTTGGGGCTTTGGCTGATAGATACAGCACGTCTTGATTTCCATTTTTACGTTTTGCTATGAAGAACATGTTTGACGCGGCTAGCAAGTCGAGCGTTGACTCGATGCTCGTGATGGTTATCCCGGGGAACTCCTTAAGGACCTCGTTTGAATCCGGTAAAGACCTCCACGTCTATATCACAAAACAATATTTTATATCTTTATAGTAAGCAATTACCCAACACAATAGTCTGTGATATATTGTTATGATCACTAACATGCTGATGTGGTATTGTTGATGCACTGTTTATCATGTACAAGGTGTTTGACTTACCTCGAGGAAGGTTCCGCGTTCCATCCTACCATCTTCTGAGAAAAGAGCGTGAAGTACAATCTTATCTGTGAAGTACCAGACAGGCTGCTGGTTGTTTTTGACAGCAACTTGCAAAACAGAGTTGGTAGACATGTTCTGGGACAATACCATTGGCAACATTGTCCTGGCAGATGCTCCAGGTTGCAGAGGTTGAACCTAAAATAGTACCAAAGCCAGGCATTAGTTTCATGAATCCAGGATGATATAAGCGTGCATGTATATAACCTGTTCAACGAAACGACTGTTACCTGAAGAGGTTCTGCAGCTGCAAGGCCGAATAAGTTTTTGTTGAACTGAATCATGAAGCCATCGAGAACCGACTGCGAGTTGTTCTCGAGAAGCATATTGTAGAACACTTGACCATCTTGTCGGGTTAACTGAGCGCAAATCTGCAGACCTTGACCACTTGATGCTGGCAAGACGACAGGCAGTGGAGGACTGCAATCAAAAGTAGGTGATCCAGTGAGTTACATATATGACAAGGTGATCTAAATATATAGGAGTGAGTAAAACAATGTGGACTATAGATAGAGACTTCTAATGCAAAAGAATGTTTTCACCATTCAAGCCAGACTCACCCTGACTGAGTTGTGTAATCATCTACTGGGACAATTGCAGCATCATCTGGCCCCATTAGGTCACCTAGGAGATCAGGCACAGCCACAGGAGCTGGGGCAGCCGCGGCAGGAGCTGCACCAACAACCGGATTACCAGATGTCTCTGTTTCGGTCCCTTCCACATAGTCCTCATCTTCCGTTTTCTGAACTGTGGTTTTCAAGCGGGTTACAAAAGCCTCTGGCGGCTTGTGATACACAGAGGACAAGGTTGAAATATTTGCAAGCAGCTCATCCAGGAGTGACGGCTCAAGTTGGTTTGAGTCATCAGTAATGACAGGCTTTTCAGCTAAAACAACATCCTTTGCCGCCTAGTCAAAAGAAGAGCACCCATGATTGTCGGTAGAACAGATGACTGTTGCTCAGTGTCCCATGTACTTGACCTAGTTGAATGGTTAACATATCAAAGGAAAAAAATACCTCGGGATCAGTAGATAGAAGACGCCAGTAGATGTATGCACGATCCCTGAGATCAGGATTATCTGTCTCCACAGTAGCATTATTCAAAACAACCTGAGAATTTACAGCATGGCAAAAGACAGGCCTGTTGTCATATACATGTTCTTGAATTGGTTAGGGGAGCAAAAAAATGGCATCATAAAATGATCATGGCAGAACCTGAATCATTTGTTGTGGGCCTTCAGTTGGCTTCTTCAGAAATAGTTTGACTGTCGCTGTAAGAAGCTGCAGCTGGACCTGTGCTGGTTCTTCAGGGAAATTTTCCAGGAAGCTTTCAAGAAGTTCATCAGCGTTGTCGATTCTCTCAGCATATTCACCAATGATCCAAATCATAGATGCCTTTGAAGATGCCAACATATGCAAGAATATGAGTTTCAGTGATTTAAGATTGTTCAGCATATTTATTTCACTGATTTAAATCACGCATATAAACAAATTCTAATACCTTGGCTTCTGGTTCATCCAATGTGTCTAGACTCTCACAGAGTGTTGCAATTATGGACTCATACCTGTTCGTTTTTTTTGAATGACATCGCCAACATTAAAGAGCGTTAGAGCAGTTTAATATGCCAAAACAAAGAACGATGAAATAAATCAACTTACGTGTTTGGATATCTTCTAAAGATATCTTTGATGACTATGATGGCTTCTTGAACAACGTAGTTTACTTTAATTTTGATCAGCTCAAGTAAAACACTGATGCACCGTTCTGCTGCTCTTTCCAGTTTGATGGCACATCTACCTATTGCACGAACAGCCTTCCGAACAAAATCAACATCCACCTCAGTGGCATACTCTTTGAACTCCAGAAGAACCTACATCAGAAACCATCATATTACGCAACAAACAGACAAAATTTGGACAAACAGCAGATAATAAAAGTGTAGTAGGACTACCTGGTCTATGTTTCTGTCAGAAGCAAGTTTTATCATAATCTCCAACTTCTCCATCTTGACATAAATAGGATCATTATACTTGCAGAAGAACACCTAAAGAAAAGACGTAAAGCATTATCAATATATATAAGAGTATACCAATTGGTTATTCTGACAGTCAACGAGGCAGAACCAAACTACCTTGATTTCATGGGCGAGAATAGTGGGTCTTTTTTGGACAATAAGGTTAATGTTACGAAGTGCAACATATTGTATCTCAGGTTCTGCAGAAAGCAATGTAACTAGGGGAGGAGCCATCTTCTTGCAAAGATTTCTAATCACATCTGTACTAGTAATTAGCTCCATCTGCTGAAGGATCATCTAGAAAAGGTCGCAGAGAAAAGGAACAAAAGAGGAATAGCATTAGGATTCTACGGAAAGGCATAGGTGGACACAGTACAAACAAGTTTGGCTGACGACAGATGAAATTCAAGGAAATATTTTTTCTTTTTCTTTTTTTAATGTCACCTTAACGGCTGAAAGCACGACAGCGCAATTGGCATGCTGTAACCTTGGAGTGACTCTCTCAACAATATTTTCAGCTTCACGAGGATCAGCTGCTTTATACCTTGACAGAGAGTCTAATATAAAAACTTGACCCCATCTGTGAAGAACAAGTATAGTGTTATTAAGATTAAAAACTATATATGTGTATTCAAAGAGCAAGCAATGAATAAATTGTCGTTTTTAGATCTCTTCAGCAGAGCTCACAACTATGAATATTATTTACACAAAACTTTCAACAACAACAAGCGAACAAAGACATCCTAAACAGCCAAAATTTTAGATACAGAACAAATTAAAGGTAAACTTATACTATAAAACAAGAAGTAATTCATGTAGGAAGTCAACAGATTATCCTACCGTGAGTGATTACGTCAACCTATACGTTCCCCAACAAGAAAAAAGATAACGGTGATCTGACAAGATATAGTCAACTAGACAAAATTTGAGCGAAAGTAGGATACCGAAATCAGGAAAGACTTACTCAGTACATTCGTTCAAAGCTGTAAGGAGCTTTGTGAGGGTAACACTATTAATTTCAAAGATGGGACTAGCACTCTTGTCTTGTATCTCAGCAAGGGCTGCTACAGCATTTGCAACAACCATCGGATTGTTGTCTGATATTAAATCCTTCAAGGCTTCAAGAAAACCCCTATCCTCGACTAATTCAGCATTTATGTCAAACAGTTTGGCAACGCAAACAGCTGCTGTCTTGCGGACATATGGATCATCATCCTGAAAAAGGTATATTACAAAAGGTCAGGAAAAACATAATAATTCACCAGTCTAGATTAAAAAAAAGAATCTTGAAGATGTAGATAGAAGTTCCAGTGGCAAGGTATGATAAAAAAAACTCCACCTTTAGGCATTTCTGAAGAGGATCGCACAAATATTCAGTGATCTTATCAACACGAATGCAGCCCATTGTACGCACAGCCAAAGCACGGATCAAGGGATTTGGGTCTTGTGAATCCTGCCGAATACAACGTGGAAGTTTAATGGAAATACCACAACATGTTTGGGTAAGGCTACAGATGAGAAGACTGTGAAAATATATAAGTTGAGGAGAATGGGTTACCTTAACAAAAGTATTAACAGCGAGGATAGCAAGATCAGGCTGGCTTTTAGCATAGTTAATGAGATACAAGTAAACAAGCTTCTTGAGCTCAAGATTCTCCGTTTGCATGCAGTTGAGTACATCAGTGAAAAGAGAAGAAACATCCTTTCCAACAGTCATAGCCGCAATAACCTTCTTAACAGCATCTTTCCTCTTATCCTTCAAACACAAACAAAGAAAATAAAAAGTCACGTGACTGAATCAAAACGAGAAACACATGCCGCGCCATCTTGAATCAACTTTACGCTAGACTAATTATACTGAAATGATCTCAACACTTGTAGATGCCAATATAATAAAAAAGATAGATTGAGCAAACAGATTCCTACTGAAGTAATTGGATTATCGTGTCGGAAAGAAGATAATGGTTTGATGATTCAACAAGTCACTGATCGTCCAACCAATAAAGCCACCAATCTAAAACTAATTGTCTGCGAGATTACACACCTCCCACATCAATGATTGAACACATTATTCATAACGTAATACCAAAAAAATCAGATTCCACTAAATAGCGCAACAATAATGTACCGATCAGATCGAATCCAGGATCACATAGATCTACGAGAAATCAATTGCTAAAACCTAAAATGAATCACTGAGGAGAGAGATGAGAATCGTGCAAAAATGGCAGATCACAGATCCGTAAAAAAGAATGAGAACAACCTTGTACTGTGAATTGAGCTCTTCCTTGAGCTCAGGGATCTCTCCCTTCTTCGTCGTGGAAAAATATTTGGAATCATGCCCGCTCATTTCTTTCTCCCCTTTCTTCTTCTTCTCCGAGAGACGATGAGTGAATAGAGCGTAAGACGAAGATTGGGAAACTGCACAAACAATGCTAAGGCTCTTTTTTTTCTCTATTTGTTCAAGGGGCCTTTTCGTAATTTAATCCACTTCGTTTGACCATTAGATGGTGGTAGATCTAGCATACCGGTCTACTTTTCGTCGGATTCGGATCTTTTGGATAGAATTCGGTCCAAATCAAAAACCGAAACTCGTAAATATTTCAGTTTGGTTTAATATGATTGGACGGTTTATAAATTGAAAGTTAATTTCAGTTAGATCCTTGTACTGTTGAATTTTACTTAACTACCTCGTAACTTAAGTCTAGTCAACGTCAGTTACCATCGAGGGGGAGAAGCATCGTCGAAAGGAAGGTCTACTGTCGTTTTCTTTTCTTTTTTTTTTCTGACAAGTTGACGATTAAGTGAGGTACACGTTCGTGAGAATTAGCTTTGATCAGACTTTTCTCTGAAGTCTCTGATCCTCATCTCCGTGACCATTCTGTTTCTTTCTTTCTCCGTAGATTGACTCACTTGGTCGTCCGTCATCGAAATCACAGATCCGTTGCGAAGATGGCGCCGAAGTTCGACACGGAGAAGATGCAGGAGCGACAGAACTTCCGTAACGTCTGGCACACGGATCTCACTCACTCCATCCAGGGCGATACTCCCTGTAACTTCTCCCACTCTCTTTCTTTTCTCCTCTCTTTGATAGGGTTTTGGTATTGATCTGTATGTCCTTTTTGCAGATTGCTGTTTCGCGTTGTGGTGGTAAGTTTTTGCTTCGATCTGACAACTTTTGGATCATTGTAATAAGACTTTTTGACCTTTGTCTGATTTTGAATCTGCTTTGCAGTGCCCCTTGTGCATCATACTTGCTTCGCAAGCGTGCGCTTTACAATGACATGTCAAGGTACTCCATGCATTCAAAACCACCTTCAAATAGATATATTGCAATTTGATATTCTTAGGTTAAAAGGATCCTTCGCTTATCTCACAGGTACATATGCTGCGCTGGTTACATGCCGTGTAGTGGCAGGTGTGGAGAAACCAAATGTCCTCAACTCTGTCTTGCCACTGAGGTTGCTTTTTAAAGCTTAAAGTGATGTTATTTTAATTTTGTTCTAGAACGTTCATCACTGCATCTGAATACATCATGTAGCATAACATCTCAGACATGTCTAGTTATGTGTCTTATGATGCTCCAATAATTCACAGGTCTTTTGCTGCTTTGGAACATCTGTGGCCTCGACTCGTTTCCTTCTGCAAGATGAGTTTCAAATCCAGACCACACAATGTGACAACTGCATCATTGTAAGTATCCTCATTGCTCAAGCCACACCCGGTTACTAAGCAATTACAGTAGAAACAGTAGTGAATATAGAACTTGAGAAATAAGTGTTTTGATCTATGCTGTGTAGGGATTTATGGTTTGCCTAAGCCAAGTGGCTTGCATATTCTCCATAGTTGCATGTATCGTCGGCATTGATGAGCTTTCTGAAGCTTCTCAGTTGCTCTCTTGCTTCGCTGACATGGTCTACTGCACGTAAGAACACACATTCTCTGTAATCTCATTTTCATTCACTTTTAAACTTCTTGTACGTCTCTGATGATCATGTTTTTCCTTCATTCGCAGGGTTTGCGCTTGTATGCAGGTAAAATGATGCTATCAACCTCACCTAATGACAAAACTAATATTACAGTCTTCCTGATAAAATCTTATTATGCTTCTGTAGACACAACACAAGGTGGAAATGGATAAGAGAGATGGTAAGTTCGGTCCACAACCAATGGCTGTGCCTCCTCCTCAGGTTATGTCACGGATTGACCAAGCCACTCCACCCGCTATCGGTTACCCTCCACAAGGTTACCCACAACACCCTCCACAAGGTTATCCACCTTCTGGGTACCCTCAAAACCCTCCAGCTTATCCTCAATACCCTCCTGGCCCAGCTTATCCTCCTCAAGGTTACCCAAAGTAATCACTCTATGACTGGTTGGAATATTTTTATTTCATCTTTCTTTTGTGTTCACTTTCACGTCGTTGGTATATTATGCTGTGTGTGCTGGTCAAAGTGTTTTGAGGTCATTGTTTGGTGTGTTTACGACTTTACCTCAGAATCATGTTGTTGTTATCTGAGACGTCCCTCTTGGACTGAGACATTTGATGAGTTTTTTCTTTTCTTTTGAATTCTCTTTTGGAGAGTACAGTCCAAATATACACGTTTATTTCTCTAAAATCTAGTTTCAATAGATAAAATATGTACCAAGTTCTAACTGATAAGTTGTGATTGGAACAATGTTTGTGATACAAAACAGAAACGTTTAAGCAATGGGATCTCAATGAATAAAAATTTAAATAACGTGCAAGAAATTGCGAGGGGGTAAGCACCCCCATGGGTTGATGGGGAGAGTTGACATGCGAACCGAGAAAAAATAATAATATTAAAATCAGATTTCTATGAACCCCTCTCTCAAAAGTTCACCGCGGTGAACCCCGATGACCCCAGATTCACCACGTGTCAACATATGATTGGTCCAAAATTAATTTTTTTTTTCTTTTAAAAGTAAACGAAAATAAAAGTAAAAATTATTTTTTTATTGTTGTGAACCCCCAAGGGGGATTCATCAATGTGGGTGCTCTAAGGCAGCTTAAAAAACTAAATTTTCTTCTCATTCAAAAATTAAATCAATACAACAAAAGCTATATATAAAAAGTTACTTTGTATTACAAAAATAAAATAAAAAGTAAAAAGTTACTTTACTTCAGTGACTTCCCCTTCTATACATACACACACATTGATACATAACGTATTATTCCTCTTCGTTTGTAACACTCTGCAACAGTTCCTCCTCGGTGACTGTACAAAACAATGCACACATTTAAGTCCATGACATTATGCACGTTATAACCACATGCTAATAAATAACATTACGTTGCTTACTCTTTCCCACAGATGCGCGTCAGGTTTCTTGTAAACAACGATGGTGTTAGTCTCAGCCGGGTTTGCCATCTTCCACTTACAACCGGATGCGAACTCGGTGCCTCGTGTATTCACTAACAGTCGTGTTCAGCTGTTTGTCGAACTTCGTGGTCGACATGTAATACACAAACGGTTTTTGGCACGGTTGCCTACTAACCGGCCTAGTGTTGAATGCGTAGGCGGTGTAGTCAGCTCTCTTGTACCAATTCAAGAAAGTTCTAGAAGGTATTTCCATTTCCCTTGGAGAGAATATTCCTCTGAATATCTGGACCGCGTAGCCCCACGAGACCGAGATTGTCCAGCTCTTGTGCTTGTCGTTGGGCTACCGAGATTGTCCAGCTCTTGTGCTTGTCGTAACATATAGACTGATGGAGAAGCCCGGCTGAGTCGAGCTTCATCGGTACAGTAAGCTTCGATCACTTTATTGACGAAAGAAATGGTGATCAAGTTGATATCAAACAAGCCAATCGTTCAGATTCTTTTAGAGTTGCTAAAGGTTACTCTTTTTAAAGGATTTAGATGAAATTACTTAGCAACATACTCTTGTCTGGTCTAAAAAGAGAAAGAAGAGATAGTTATCGGATACATTAAATAATGTCTTGTTAAAATTAAATGGAAATGACCGAGAATTCATCAAAGAAAATCTTCTAACATGGACAAAGGAAAACCAAGACTTCATAACCCAGACTTGAGAGATTGGAATCAGCTCCATAATCTGCAACAACAAAAAAAAGAAAGAAAGAAAATCATTCCAAAATAAAATTGTTGAAATGATTTATGAGAAACTACCTTCCTTAATCAACACTTTCGAGTGTTTCTACGCCTTGGGGGACTTTGACATAGTCTTTCTGGACGTTTAGATAGGCGTCCCGCACGTGTTTGAAAGCATGCATTCTCGACATTGGTGGAAGACGTGTTGGCAGTTTGAACAACCTCACCATTTCTGGAAGATGTGTCAACATCCCGACAATGTAATGAGCGTAACAGTTCCTCCAACTCTGAGACACGATAAAACAGTGCCTTGTTTTCTTCGATAACTGTAGCAACATCATCATCATGTTCTTCTTCTTTGGGAAAGGCAGATAAGTCTACTTGGTTCATCTGCTCACACTCATATACACGAGATCTCACATTCTCCTGAGAAATGAAATCTCCAGCTTCTTTCAACACAACGCACTTCATGCTCCAATCTGACTTGGTTAATCTATAATCTCTATTCACCAGGTCGATAACTTTAACAACATCATCATCATGTTTTTTTTCTTCGGGAAAGACAGAGAAGTCGGCATCGTTGAAACGACTAAGCACACAAATTACCTCAACATCTGTTGATTGTTCGATAAGTTGAATCTGATCATGAATTGATTGTAGCGTCTTTAGATACCTAGAACAAATAAACACATGTGGAAGATTGTCCAGTAGAGCAAACGAATCTTGTCCACAAATGCAATGCCATCGGAAATCCTTTCAAATCCATCTTCGTAGCAACAGAAGAAATTTTTTTTTTTACGGATTGTATGAGAATGTCGAAAGAATATTTTCACTAAGGATAACTTTCCATTTTGATGCGACTTTTCGCTATGTTCAAATATTTTGCGGGAAAACAACACATAGCAAGCGAATATCTCGACAAAAAAGATAATCTCAAGAAGAACCAACATTGTCAGCCTCAGTTTGGTTTCTTCTGCATCCTCACCTAACGATTTTATCTCACAAGTCAAATCCTTTACCGTGTGTCTACTTCAAGCAGTAAGGGCAACAAAATCATACCTTCTGTCGAGGATTTTTCTTGTGTTTCCCAGCATGGTAGGCCAGTACCCAAGTGAAATTCTCCCCAAGGAATATCTCATTAGCTGGATAGCAAAGTGGAACAAAAGTTTGTTTTCCCTTGTGGTAGGCATTTATCTACAGATTAGAAAACATATCAGTTGAACTGAGAATCCCAAATCATTATATGCTTCTACCTGTGAACCACCTCCAGTCCTCGAACCAACTTTGATGATCGGGCCGAGGAAAGTGTTCTCCAATAGAGAGAAAACAAGAGGACTGAGTATCCTTTTAAGAATTTCCACATAAGAAAACGTCGAATGATTATTGACTGAAGAACACTTTCCTCGGCCCGATTATCAAAGCCGGTCCGAAGACTGGAGGTGGTTCACAGCTATAAGCATATAATGGTTGGGATTCTCAGGTTAACTCGTACGTTTTCTGATTTATAGACAAATGTCGACCATAAGGGAAAACGAACTTTTGTTCCACTTTGCTGGCCAGCCAATGAGATTCTCCTTGAGAGAATTTCACTTGGTTACTGGCCTACCATGCTGGGAAACACAAGACAAATCCTCGACAAAATGCATGATTGTGTGGCCCTTACTGCCTGAAGATAGACACACGGTAAAGGATTTGATCTGTGAGATAAAATCGTTAGATTGGGATGGAGAGGAAACCAAACTGAGGCTAGCAATGTTGGTTCTTCTTGCCGAGATATTCGCTTGCTAAGTGTTGCTTTCCCGCAAAATATTTGAACATAGCGAAAAGCCGCATCAAAAATGAAAAGTTATCTTTGGGGAAAAGATTCTTTCGACATTCTCATACAATCCGTTAAAAAAAAATTCTTTCGTTTCTTCAAAGATGGATTTGAAAGGATGTCCTATGGCATTACGTTTCTGGTTTTTGGCTTCCGTGCCAAAATGACAAGATTTGTTTGCTCTACTGGACAACCTTCCACATGTGTTTATTTGTTCTAGGTATCTAAAGACGCTACAACCAACTCATGGTCAAATTCAACTAATCGAAAAATCAACAGATGTTGAGGTAACTTGTGTGTTTAGTCGTTTCAACGATGCCGACTTCTCTGCTTTTCCCGAAGAAAAAGAACATGATGATGATGATGTTGCTAAAGTTATCGACTTGGTGAATATAACCTATAAATTAACCAAGTCGGACTAGAGCATGAAGTGTGTTGTGTTGAAAGAAGCTGGAGATTTCATTTCTCAGGAGAATGTGAGATCTCGTGCATATGAGTGTGAGCAGATGCACCAAGAAGACTTATATGTCTTTCCCGGAAGAAGAAGAACATGATGATGATGTTGCTAAAGTTATCGAAGAAAACAAGGTATTGTTTTATTGTGTCTCAGAGCTGGAGGAACTGTTACGTTCATTACATTGTCGGGATGCTGACACATCTTCTAGAAATGGTGAGGTTGTTCAAAACGCCAACACGTCTTCCACCAATGCCGAGGGTGCATACTTTCAAACACGTGCAGGACGCATATCTAAACGTCAAGAAAAACTATGTCAAAGTTTTCCAAGGCGTAGAAACACTCGAAAGTGTTGACTAAGGAAAGTAGTTTCTCATAAATCATTCCAATAATTTGGTTTTGGAATGATTTTTTTTCCTTTTTTTTTGTTTTTGTTGCAGGTTATAGAGTTAATTCCAAACTCTCGAGTTTGGGTTATGAAATCTTGTTTTTTGGTTCTCCTTTGTCTCTGTTAGAAGATTCTCTTTGATGAATTCTCGATCGTTTCCATTCAGTTTTAACGAAACATTATTTAACGTATCCGATAACTATCTTTTTTTTTTCTCTTTTAGACCAGACAAAAGTATATTGCTAAGTGATTCCATCTAAATGATTTAAATAGAGTAATTTTTAGCAATTCTAAAATAATCTCCGTGGTTAGGAACGATTGGCTTTTCTGACATCAACTTATTACCATTTATTTCGGTACAATAAGGGCACGGACACTTGTAGTGTTTGGGAAGATCGGTTCCGGTGGTGCACTCAGTGCCGTGCCTCAATGGAACAAAATGAAGCATTCGCTTCGGGCAACAAAATATTTTTAAATATCAAGGGCATCATTTATTATTAATAAAGGTAAAATATAACTATAAAACAAAAGAACTGTGATAATTAGAATTAAAAACATGGAACTATAATAAAAAATGGTATCCTAAGTAACAAAAATATAGGCAATTGTAATTATTAAAGAATTAGAGTCATTAGATTGGTTGGTAGTTATATATAGTGTTGAATGCACTTTTAATATTTTCAGAAATGTAAAATTGATTAATTTTTTTATCATGGCATAAAAAGATTGAGTAATTTAATTACTTTATCTAAAAGTAGTATAAATTTAATGGTAAAACTTAATTAATATTTGTTTTAAAATAAAAATAAATCTTGTTACATAATTACTATTTTGTTTATTAGTTTATTTTATGTTTCTCTTCTCTAGTCATTTTTGTATTGTTATTTTTATCGAAAAAAAATTATGATTAGCTTCGGGCAACCATAAACGTTCGCACGGCTCTGGGTGCACTGAGACGAACGGTCATATGTGCGCCTAGAAGATAATGATACGAACAAGTGTGAAAGAAAAGAAAAACGGGTCCCACTCTGACACCTGTATTCAACCATCTAACTAAAGTAAATGGACAAGACATTGAGCTACTCACGCGCCACATTGTCGGTACCAAACCACGGAAAATTTGCCAAAACAACATCGAAGCACAAACAGAACAAAGAAACAGAACTGATATCACTACTAAACTAGCATGAGATTTTCTTACATGCGAACTATCATTATTTATTTTTTGTAACATCTTTACTAGAACATTTATAACATTGAAGTTTAGTACCATTGCCCCTAAAATAGTCTTTCAAACTCTTTACGATAAAACTCTTAAAAAATTGAAGTTTGCTGAAAAACTAACTACTTGATTGAAACCCATTTCAATTACCATCATTACCTTCAAGACCCATGTCACAAAATCACTAAAACACACCAACTTTGCCACTAATAAATCCTTAAAAATTGCTTAGCGTTACTACATTAGGACTCAATAATCACCAACTCAATCCTTAATATACTAATTCACCATACTTGGCACTGACCCAACTAGTTTACTACCAAAATTTGCCAAAATCAAACTGAAAAATATTCCGACAAAACTTGTCTTACCTGATGAAACCCGAGTTCTTTAGTAAGTGGAACACCGAGTTCAGCCATACAAGCTTGCATGCGATCATCTGAACCATACAAAGCAGGATACCTCTGTATACACCGATCTTGCATCTTGCTCAAAGCCTTAGCTAAAGGGTAACTAATAGCAAACCCTCCTCCACCGTACGCCATCCCATACGAGAAAAATATATTCTGCAGATGAGATTCTGACAAGCTTCCAGTGTAATACATCTGCTCGTGGTCGTACTTCCTCAACACCCTAGCGAGATTATCCGTGACGAAAACCGTGTCGTCATCGCCCATCACGAACCACCTCACGTTCTTCGGACCCAAACGCAGCATCTCCGACACGATCCTCGAGATCCGTAACGCCGAGCGTGCCGAGCGTTTCCCTTGCTTGTTCGTGTAAGGGAATGAAGCTGTCCCGCTGAAGATTTTCACCGGCGGAAGTAGATCATCGTCGTTGCTGTTGATGTCGCTGCTGTTCTGGGTTTCTCAGACGAATCTTTCTGGGTGCCTTTCATGGCTTTGATTCGTGCCCCCGGAGGAGAGACCGAACCGAAAAGAATGGATCTTTGTTTCTTGAAAGAGAAAGATTAATGTTAATGAGATTAGTTGGTGATGTCCTGAGAAATCGAGGGGAAGACAGTGAGCGAAAAAAAAAGAAAAGAGAGATATGGAAATACAGGTGAGAGTGAGAGAGGAACCTATATCATCCCACTAGAAGCTCCTTTTTTTTTGTCACAAAACACTAGAAGCTCCTTAAACGCAAAAATAAATTAAAAGAACAAAAAAGGGAGGAGATAATATTATTAAAACTAGGCAAAGAATCCACGTGATATCGCGTGGGGGCTCATTTTATATAAAGTATATAAACCATTTTATAATTTATATATTCTTTTTAAAATGTTTTGATTTTAATTTTTGTTTCTCATGTCAAAATGTAGATTATGTGTGTTGATATTCATTTATAGATAATATTAAAAGGTATATGTTATAGTGTAGATTACAACTAAAATACAAATACGTCAATACCAATTAAACTATACCTCTTATATTAGTTTAGTTAAACTATTCTAAAATTTTAAATACTGCGTAATGTTTTTTTTTGAATTTAAAATTAATCATGTATTCATTTTATAAGGTAACTTATAATGACAAATATAATAATCATGAACTTTTGAAACTATGTAAAAATGTGTATTGTCGGAAACATGATTACATAGTAACTTAAAGAAATCTTGTACAATAGAATTTTTTTATTGGTAAACCACAAATACATTATTCTTTTATGCATTATTTGCATTTTATGTATCCAAAGAATTGATCTTTGATGGACATGAGAGTAATTGCCTCAAGGGTCCTTATTTGAAAAATTTAAAGCTCAAATATCCTTACTTTTTTTTTAATTTTATATGTCAAATGAAAAATCATACAATTAAACTGAAAGTGACAATATTTTTTATTTGATTTATAGAATTTGATAAAAAAATTTCAAAAATCAAAAAACTATTTTTTCATATTTTTCCGAAAATCATCAAAAATGATTAAAAAACGATTTTAAAATATTTTTTTGACGAATTTGAAACATATAGAATTTAAATATTTTACCCATGGGTTCACTGATCCATAGGGGGTTTTGTTTAATTTTGATTGCTTGGGGATGATTTATTTGGAATTTTTATTAAATGATGAAATATATAAAGATTAATGGAGGGTATAAGTAATTTTTTTTTTTTGAATAAGGGCGTTTGAGGTGATGACTCGACATGAACAATGAAATAGGAATCCCGACAAAATAGTCAAACGTGTCTTTTCGTTTTTACTTTGCTCGTATCAATTTATTAATATTGCACATATATATTTACAATTTTTTGATCAGTGTTAATATGATAAACTGCATCTCTTAAGTTTTATTTACGTGAAAAATTATATTTATTAGTTTCTGAGATGAAAACTTGTGTGTTTTATGTGTTTTTGTCATATATATTTAATAATAATTCACCAATATTTGTGATTGTTTATATCTAAAATTTAGTGCAGTAATATGAAAATTTTAGTTTTGAGATGAAAAGTTATGTCCTTTCACTTTTACTTTGCTCATATCTATTTATTAATATTTTACATAAATATTTACAATTGTTTATATGTAAAAGTGAAAGTATTGATATAAAACTATTGAATCTCATAAGTTGTTATATGAAAAGTTATATTAGTTTTTGTAATGAAAAACTTAATCTATTACTTATGAAAAGACACAACTCTTTATAAAACTCATATATTTTTTATTTTTTTTAAAGAAAAAGAATGAAAACCTTTGACATTATAAGAAAAATACCCAAAAAAACTTATAGAGACATCCATAATTTCTAATTTGATAACTTTTCAGAATTAGCTTCACTTTTCTAATTAAAAACACAACCTCTAACATTACGTGAAGTCACACACATATAAAAAGGAACATCAATAGTATTTGATAATGGAAAGTGACTCTCAGATCAGTTCTTCTGACAAAACATCAAATAACAATTAACAGAATTACATAAAAAGAAAAACGTAATGAAAACCAAATAGAAATATATATTAATTAACTGCAATAAATAACTTGGAAAGTACCAATTTCAGTGACAAAATAAGTAGAAATCGGTGATTAGTTTGAGAACATATATTGTTAATTGGCCAAAAAGAAGACGTGATTCACTTCATCTCTTGCCATCCCAAATATTTAAAAAGGTGTGTTTGTAAACAAATCCCTTTACTGTTTCCAAAAAAAAAAAAAAAAAAATCCCTTTACAATTATAAGTAATAAAATCAGTGTTGACCTTAAGTTTAACGAAAAAAGGTTTTTTAGATATGATTTTTTATTAAAACACATATTTTCACCTCTAAAAATATAAGATTGATCAAAGATTAAATAACATACCATTAGTACATAGATATAATGTTGAAAAATAAATGTTTTGCAAATATCAGAGTATTTATGTAGTTTGTTAGGTTTATTAATACATAATTATTTACAAAAATGGCAAATTTAAAAGATGCAATGAAAGCCTTAAAGTTTTAGTTTCAACCCTACATAAGTAATTCATATCTAAAATAAATTAATTTATTGCCCAAAAGAATCAGTCTAAAACATTCAGTTTAAAACTTCTTGAAGAGAATAATTATATAAAAAAAAATTAAAGTAAGTTTTTCCCATATTTTAACCTAAGAATACGAAAGAAAATTAAATTAGGATTATGAAAAAAAATGATAGATTCATAATTCAATGGAAATAGAATGTCAAATATATGTTGCATGCATAAATTTTGAGCATTTCTAACAAGAGTTTTTTTTTTTTCTTTTTTTGAGAAACGTAGTAACAAGAGTTCTAAATGTATTGAAACAAAAAGTAAACAAGAAGAAAAAACAAGGAATCAATATGGTCCAAAAATCAAAAGAAAATGATTTAACAGTCATTTGAAAGTAGCCCATTGTGAACGAAAAGATCCATGAAATTATAATGATTCGATGGTGTAAAAAATATGAACAACACAATTTATATCTACTCTATTAAAATAGAGTCATTCTTTTTATCTACTGATATAAGTTGTCATTTAAATTTGGACTATTTCTAGAGTGTTACAAATAATACAAGTTATATAGTTGATTGAACCGCATTATTTAATTTAAACCGGCAGTTATTTATGGAATAGAGTTTTGGGCTTACTTTTGTTTTTATGACAAATTATATAGTTTAGGTTTTGGGATTAGTATTAAAAAAACATTGAATAAATGTTCTACTTTAACGGATCAAAAAATCAATTACTATTTTAAGACCCAAAAGTATTTAATATCTTAACAAAACAAAATTATATATTATTAATCACTTATTTAAATCATGTGCTTTAAAACATGTTAATACTTTTTTTTATTTTAAATAACAATCACTCTGTCTTGATAAATTTCAATGGTAACTTTTATAATAGTTTTTTTCTTAAATAATTTACTAATTTAAAAAAATAAATGTAAAGCAAAACTAAAAACCAAATCTAAAAATTAAAATCTAAAACCAAAAGCTGAAAACGCATGTTATATTTTTGTCATCTTTTCAGTTTTAAATTGGATGTTCGATTCTTTGGGATTTGTTTTTGTTGGTAATTATGAGTTCAAACTAACTCAGCGGATCTAAAAGCTAAAAACCCAAACCAAAAGATGAAAATCAAAACTAGAAACTTAAAAATTAAAAACCAAAAACCAAAATCTAAAACCAATTCTAAAAAGAAAAACTGAAACTAAAAACTAATGCAAAACAATCATCACCACAAATTTTGGATTACTGATTTTATACCAAAACATACTTTAAATAAAGACAAAACCTAATTATATGAACTTTTAATCAAAAAAAATTTCTACGCTTTCAAGCGCGGGTCAAAATCTAGTAGAAAGTTAAAAAGACATGAAAATGAAAAGATGTAACCTTATAATGAAAAGATACATATCTAGTTAAACAATTATAAACGAGAAGATACAATAAACAAATAGTAAAGTTAAAATGGAAAGTCGCAACCATTAAATTAATTAAAATTGTTATTGTTAAGTAACTTTAGTTTTAACCCTTAAATTAAAAGGTGTGATAAAAAATTATAAGGTAAAGAAAAGTTACACGTTATAATAATTTTCTTAAGAAATATATGACTTTTCAATCGTTAGAAAAAGACATGGTTTTTCATTATAATTTCCTCATTTCTATTTATTATTAATGTTCATGGTATCTTTTGATTTATAACTGATTCAATTTTTAGAATTATATTGAAAGATTATGTTTTCATAAAAATTAATCTCTATTTCTTTTCTGAAAAGACACAATCTCTTTATACAATAAAAAAATGAAATCAGTTATAGATTAAAACACACCATGAACAATAATAAATAAAAAAATATATAATAAACAGTTATAAACAAAATTATGATGAAAAATCAAGTCTGTTGAAATCACAATTAATATCAATTCAATTCAAATTAATTAGGATTACTATTATTAATAGAGAATCTTTAAGAATAATCACAATTTTCTATTTATAAGTAGTTAACTGAATACTACCCTTACAATATATATACTTCGAATAGAACATCTTTTCAGGAAATATATATATATATATTGAATATACAATTTCTTTCAAATTAATTAACTTTTGAATGACACATTATTTCAAAAAAAAACTGAAATATTAATTTTTTTAATAGATATTTTTTTTTAAATTAACTAACTTTTGAACGGATACACTGTTTCAATACAAACTTAAAATATAAAAATGAATACACAACCTTTCAACTTAATGATGATTCATAACTTTTGGAATTAATTGATATTGTTATTATTAGCAGATATGTAAAATAGGGTTGTTGTCTTTGTTTTTTTAAAAAAATTTTAGTGATTAATTTGTTGTTATATAATTTAAAAATTATTATTTGGTGTTATCGCGAAACAAAGAAATTGCGAAGGGGTAAGACAGCCTACAAACTAATTTTTCTTCTCATTCAAAAATTAAATCAATACAACAAAAACTATATATAAAAGGTTAATTTGTATTACAAAATTAAAAAAAAAAAGTAAAAAGTTACTTTAATTCAGTGACTTCACCTTCTCTACATACACCAACATTGATCCATAACGTATTATTCCTCTTCGTTTGTAATACTCTGCAACAGTTCCTCCTCGGTGACTGTACAAAACACATGCACACACTTAAGTCCATAACATTATGCACGTTATAACCACATGCTAATAAATAACACTACGTTACTTACCCTTTCCCATAGATGAGGGTCAGGTTTCTTGTAAACAACGATGGTGTTAATCTCAGCCGGGTTTGCCATCTTCCACTTACAAGCCGGATGCGAAACCCGGTGCCTCGTGTATTCACTAACCGTCGTGTTCAGCTGCTTGTCGAACTTCGTGGTCGACATGTAATACACAAACGGTTTTTGGCACGGTTGCCTACTAACCGGCCTAGTGTTGAATGCGTAAGCAGTGTAGTCCGCTCTCTTGTACCAATTCAAGAACGTTCTAGAAGGCATTTCCATTTCCCTGGGAGAAAATATGCCTCGGAATATTTGGACAGCGTAGCCCCACGAGACAGAGATTGTCCAGCTCTTGTGCTTGTCGTAGCATATAGACTGCTGGAGAAGCCCGGCTGAGTCGAGCTTCATCGGTACAGTTAGTTTCTTGAGGGCACGGACACGCGTCGTGTTTGGGAAGATAGGTTCCACAACGTCGAGGTGGTGCATTGAGACGAACGGTGTTACTGGGTGTGCGGCTAGGAGACCGAAGAGGTTCCCGTAAACGTCGTACTGAAAACAGAACACAACTTAAGATGTTACAAGGAGCGTGAGTTTCACACGTCATATGTGTGCGCCTAGGAGATAATGATACGAACAAGTGTGAAAAAAACAGAAAACGGGTCCCACTCTGACACCTGTATTCAACCATCTAACTAAAGTAAATGGACAAGACATTGAGCTACTCACGCGCCGTATTGTCGGTACCAAACCACGGAAAATTTGCCAAAACAACATCAAAGCACAAACAGAACAAAGAAACAGAACTGATATCACTACTAAACTAGCATGAGATTTTCTTACAAGAACACTATCATTATTTATTTTTTTGTAACATCTTTACTAACATTGATGTTTAGTTCCATTGCCCCTAAAACTAGTCTTTTGAAACTCTTTCCGACAAAACTCTTAAAAGTTTGAACTTTGCTGAAAAGCTAACTACTTGATTGAAACCCATTTCAATTACCATCATTACCTTCAAGACCCATGTCACAAAATCACTAAAACACACCAACTTTGCCACTAATAAATCCTAAAAAATTGCTTAGCGTTACTACATTAGGACTCAATAATCACCAATTCAATCCTTAATATACAAATTCACCACACTTGGCATGACCCAACTATTTTACTACCAAAATTTGCCAAAATCAAACTGAAAAATATTCCGACAAAACTTGTCTTACCTGGTGAAACCCAAGTTCTTTAGTAAGTGGAACACCGAGTTCAGCCATACAAGCTTGCATGCGATCATCTGAACCATACAATGCAGGATACCTCTGAATACACCGATCTTGCATCTTGCTCAAAGCCTTAGCTAACGGGTAACTAATAGCGAACCCTCCTCCACCGTACGCCATCCCGTACGAGAAAAATATATTCTGCAAATGAGACTCCGACAAGCTCCCAATGTAATACATCTGCTCGTGGTCGTACTTCCTCAACACCCTTACGAGATTATCCGTGACGAAAACCGTGTCGTCATCGCCCATCACGAACCACCTCACGTTTTTCGGACCCAAACGCAGCATCTCCGACACGATCCTCGAGATCCGCAACGCCGAGCGTTTCCCTTGCTTGTTCGTGTAAGGGAAAGAAGCTGTCCCGGCGGAGATTTTCACCGTCGGAAGTAGATTATCATCGTCGTTGTTGTCGCTGCTGTTCTTTTTAACTTCTTTGTCTAACCAGACGTAGCCACGCATGTGTTTTGGTTTGTACCAGATCTTGATATACTCTTTCCTCTGTTTCCAAAGCTTCGACGACGCGGCGATCCCGAACACCACGTGGTTGAGATCGGTTGGCTCGTCTTCTTCCACCTTCTCTTCCTCCGACTCGCGCCGCCGTGAAGGTAATAGCGCAGAAGAGGAGGAGGAGGAGACGTTGGTGGAGGAGAGAGTGGTGAAGGTGATGGAATCGTCGCAAGAGCGTGAGGTGGAGACGAGCTTAAGCATGTAGATAATGTAAGTGAAAGCCATGAAGCAGATGAGCCAAACCATTAGTTTTGGACCGGGTCGGGTTGCCGACAACGTTCCGGGTTTCTCAGACGAATCTTTCTGGGTGCCTTTCATGGCTTCAAGCTTTCTTGATTCGTGCCCCCGGAGGAGAGACCGAACCGAAAAGAATGGATCTTTGTTTCGTGAAAGAGGAAGATTAATGTTATTGATGTCCTGAGAAATCGAGGGGAAGACAGTGAGCGAAAAAAGAAAAGAGAGATATGGAAAGACAGGTGAGAGAGAGAACCCAATATCATCCCACTAGAAACTACTTAAACGCAAAAACAATATCAAAAGAACATAAAAAGGAGGAGATAATATTATTAAAATACGTAAAATGGGGTTCTTGTCTTTGTTTTTAAAATTTTTTAGAGATTAATTTGTTGTTAGATAATTTAATAATAGTTATTTGGTGTTATCGCGAAACAAAAAGGTTTGTGTGTTTATTGTAGAAAGTATTCATAAAACTCCACGTGAATCATTATCTACGTGTCACTTTGTGCTCCTATATCTAAAGCCAAAGCTGCCTCGTTTCATAGGCTCGTTTTTTCAGCAAAAGGAAGGGTGTACAGGCAGTGGCTAACATTGGGCTTGATATTTTGCAAAGAACGGTATTAATTGATAAATTACAATTAGTGTAATCATTGTTGTTTTGGTAAGGGATGTGTAACTGGTATATTTTGGTCAAAGGTGTTAGATTTGTGTCAGTCCATGTATATATATTTATTACCATCAGCATAGATTTGGTTTTATCACGAATAATTATGGGTTGTCGAAGGGATGATTCATTGTGGTTGTAGATGCCCTGGATAAATAAAATTGTCTAGAGATATATATCTCAAGTAATTATGCTTTCTTTTCTTTAAAAAATTACTGCTAAGATATCTCTAAATTTTTTAAAAGTAGTTGTAAAAAGCTTTATTTCTAAAGTAAAAAATAAGTACTTTATAAAACTACAACAAAAGAATTTACAGCAAATAAATCAACAATTTAAATCCTACGGCGCATTCCAATCACCCATATGATTTACTATTAGATTGTTTGGATACAGTGCCCTCTCAAATAATTTATAACTAGGTGGACGACCCGCACGTCTGTGCGGACATTAATATAATATATACATTGCATAAATAAAAAACAATGTAAATGTATAAATATATATTGTAATTTTCTTTCTCTTTTACATTGATACTCTGTTTTTAATATATTTTTCTATTTTACTCATTTCGTTTCTCCTTGTATTTTTTCACACATTCGTTTTGTTTCTTATGTATCTCTCTTTGCATTATTTTTGTATGTCTTTGTACACCTCTCTCGCTCTCTTTTTCTTTCTCTCTCTCTCTTAGCTGATCAAATAATCTCAAAATCTCTCAAACGTACATTCACTCTCTCACAATCATCTATATTCATTCTCTTACCCTCGTCCTTAATATGATCCTCAATATTTCATTTTAAAACTCTTTCTATCTCTTTATTGTTGCAAAATTTTCACCAGATTTTGTTAAATCTTCTAAACACTTTGACATGATATTAATAAATGATTTCAGAATCTATCTCACTTATATTCAGTCTCTCACTTATATTCTTTTTCATCTTCATTATGATTATAACCGACTCTCTAATCCTTATCATCACTATATCTCCCTCTCTTTCTCCATTTCTTACATATTTTTTTATTTAGAATTTATTATAAAATCACAATTGACTAACCAAATAAATTCATTGTCAAATTCTCTCCAATCTTCACACTATCTTATCAAACATTGATTCCTTTGACCAAGATTTTCATTGAAAAAATAAATATTTTATTATTAATTTTGTTTTTCTTTAATTATTTCATTACATACATATTTTAAATAAATCTAAATATCTGTATTTCAAAAAAGTAAATTTGATTAAATAATTATATAACATAAAATATCTTAATTCTTAAATGATGTGATGTCATTATTTTAGACATAGATTAATATAAACATGAAATTCAACAGTTTTAATATATCAAAATAACATGTTTCTAGTTGTATAAATTTTGTTATAACTTTTTATCATATATTTTTAAAGTTTATTACACCGCAAAAAATAATTATCATTATTTTAAAATAATTTATTTTAAAATTAATTTGCGTTATATTTTGCATCTATAACATTAACAATTTTATAACTTATCATTTATATTTATCTTCCTTACTCAATTTTTCTTTATGTTGTATAAACACCTAAAAATAATTAGTTTACAATTATATTAATAGGTAAAAAGTATTTTGGTATACAAATAAAAAAATATGTATTTACAAATACAAAATAACGAAGAATACAGCAAAATGTTTTATGTTATTCACTCATGTTTTTATTTATGTCTCTTTTTTTTTTCTTATTAAAAATAAACATGCCAATTTTATTCTACTTAAAGCTATATGAATTATATGAATAGAATCTTAACTCTAATCTTGTATTAATATAATGTTTTTATTTTTTGTAATTTTATATTATAATAAACTTTCTATTTATTCATATTTTTTTTTAAAAATGACATACCATATAATTTTCTGTTTTAAATATAAATATACTTAACTAATTTTTGAAAGTGATAACTCAACTATACTATCGACATTTATCTCTGGAAAATGATAGATTTTTTTTAAAAAAATACATTTGACTGTTTTGCATTCATTGGACATATTTTAAGAATACATATATATAGTGAGTGAGTATTAAAAATACTATTAGTTTTCTGTAATGTATGATTTTTTATCCACTATTAATAGAAAAAAATTTAAAATCGTTTATATACTTATTTCTATAATATAATATGTATTTATATGTATATTCTAAATTTTTATAATGGAATATGTGATATTTAATTGTTTCTATAAACAAATTCTATTAATCCTATGTATTTAAGATGGTTAATTGTTATTTTGGTAATATATATTAGATTAGGTAATTCTAGGATTAGTTTCCTTTTAAAAAACTTTAATTAAATAAATAAAAATTCAAATGTTAACAACCAATTAAATTAAGAGAATTAATTCTACATTGCACCTATGAATGACACGTAAGCAAAATTCATTAAAGTGACTTCTCTTTTAATGTATAGGGGGATCCCTATATAAAACATATTAATGGCAGATTTAATAATATAATAAAAGAAATTTTAAAATATATTGTTCTATTTATATATATTTGATATTTCGTTTGAACTAATAAACTCTGAATTTAGTAGTACATCTAATTATGAATAAAAGTTAGACTATAATTCTTAGAATTGTTTTTAAAAGTAAGTTAGACCATATAATTATATAGTATACTTTTTATCAAACCAACAATCAAATTAATTATTAGTGTACAAAAGAATATTATTTCATTTCTTAAAATAAAAGATATGAAATTACCTAACATGATTAACATATATATGAAAATTAATGATTATGAATAATACATGTTTTATAACAATTTTTGTATCATTTCTTTTTTTTTGCTTAATTTTTATTATTAAAAATAAATAAACTATCACATTAAACATATAATAAAAAAATTTAGATTTTTTCTTATCTGTTATATTTAGAATTTTTTGAAACGACTATAAATTACTAAAAATGATAAAAGTTCCACATTGAAATTTTTTGATCAATGCTTAACCTTTTTTTTTGTTCAAGCAAGATACAAATGATTAAAAATCGTATTAATATGAAGTCTGATTAATATATATCCATATTATATATATATATCATTTAAATTAAATTATATACTATATAAAATATATAAATATGATAATTTCAAAATTTGTAGTGAAAATTTATTGAGGTCTTAATATTTTAATTTTGAAATTTGTATTGGCACAATCTCACATTAAGTTTTTGTGATTTATTCAAATTTTTGTTAGAAAAACATATAAAAATGTTAATAAAATCATATGAGTAGAAAGTGTCAATAATAAATATATCAATATAGCATATATATATATATGTAATATCAATATCATTTAGTTAAATATCATATAAAGTAAATAAAATGGTTGTTTTGATTTATTTACCAATATGATTGTAAATTAACAAAAGGTATTAGTTTTGATTTATATGTTTACTCTAATGTATAAGCTTTTATGTATATAGATTCATTTTTAAATAAGTAGTTTCTAATATGTTATTTGATCCTGACAATCTGAGAATTACACTTCTTTAAATCAAAGTGATTTTTAATAATGGAACACTTCTTTAAATCAAAGTGATTTTTAATAATGGAAGAACTATATATATTATTTCATTCGGATTAAATAATTTAGTCTTGATATTTATTTCTAAAAAGTTTTTAATGAAATATCATGACAAGATTCCAGTCAACTTCTTTTAAGTTTGTTTAAATGAGAGATTTGATCATTCGTCTAATATTTGTTTCTCCATAAGGAAGAAGTTTAAGGACTGGTTGAGGTGGTTTGGTTTAATTTTATTTTCTCATGAAATAAGCTCTTGGAGCATTTTGTTTTTCATTTATGCGGGTTATTTATTTCTATGTTCAAGCTGTGGCTGGTCTTGGGTATTCAAGACATGGAATAAAAGGTTTTTATTTGATTATTGTTGGTGTCTTAGTCACTGGCTATGTGGTACTGGTTTTATTGTGGTTGAATATGAAAATGACAGCACAGGTTATGAATAGGAATGAAAGACAGATAGGTGGTCTATGTGGTATTAATGTCGAGCTGCATGTTTGGTTTGTTTGTGTGAAGGAGTCACTGTTACAAATGGTTTTATTTTATCAGAGATCATGTCTCGTTTTGGGTTTCTTACGGGTATATATGTCTTTATGGCCAGAGAAGTATGTTATTTATGCTGATTGCTGGTATTGGCTTTTGTGTGACTTGATCTCGTGGTGTTCTTTGGTAGCAGGTTGGTTTGAGGTCTATTGGAGGTATAAAGGATATATGATGGTGTATTTCTGCTACACTGGAGTTCAACGTCTCTTCCTGGTCTCTTTAAATCAGGTCTTGAGATGGGGCAAAGGATCATGAATGGTTACTACAGGTTTCAAAAGATCATGCAGTTTGTCTTTGAGGAGGGTTTAGTCGAATGGTTCATGGCAATTCACGGTACAGATTTTGGCATGTCAGGTTGGATCACATATGCAGGAAGGTTATGGCGTACGGGTCTGACTTTTATCTTTTTCTGTGGATCAATTGTAATACAAACTCGGCCTTTATATGTTACTAGTATGTACATGCTGCTTCCGGTTGGGATTATTGACATACAGTATGAATTGGGCCAAATAAAAT